ATGTGATATCTTTCCAATTTTTTTTTCTCTTTAACTTTTTTTCAGTAGTGTTTTGGAGTTTTCAGTCTTTGTATACTGTATAAAAGTCACTTTTTGGTTAAATTCATGACAAAATATTTCATTCTTTTTTTTTTAAAGAGAGAGTGAGAGAGGAAGGAGAGAGGGAGAGAGAGAGAGAGAGAGAGAGAGAGAGAAAGAATTTTTAATATTTATTTTTTAGTTCTCGGCGGACACAACATCTTTGTTGGTATGTGGTGCTGAGGATCGAACCCGGGCCGCACACATGCCAGGCGAGCGCGCTACCACTTGAGCCACATCCCCAGCCCCAATATTTCATTCTTTTTGATGCTAATGTAAATGGTTTCCTGAATTTCCTTTCAGATCTTTCATTAGTCTATAAAAAATGCAACTGGATATTTTTATACCTTTATTTTATTTAGTTTTTTTAATGTGGTGATGGAGATCAAACTCAGTGCCTTATGCATGCTAGGCAAGCGCTATACCATCAAGCCACAACCCCAGCCCAATGCAACAGAATTGTTAATTTTGTATACTGCAACTTTGCTAAATTCATTAACACTTAACTTTTTTTCTGTGATTTTCTTTAGGGTTTTTCTATATTTAAGATTATATCATATGCAAATAGATATATTACTATTGTTTCTCCAATTCAAATAGATTGGAAGATTGGATTTTTTTGGGGGGTACTGGGGATTGAATCCAAGAGCCATTCAACTGAGCTACATTCCCAGCCCTTTTTATTTATTTATTTTTGTGGGGTCTTACTAAGTTGTTTAGGACCTCGCTAAGTTGCTGAGGCTGCTTTAAATTTGCAATCCTTCTGCCACAGTCTCCTGAATTAGTTGGATTACAGGTGTGCATCACCATAGCTGGTTCCTTGATTTTTTGATCTTAGGGAAAAGGTTTCAGTTTTTTAGCATCACATATGATGTTAGTTATGGGTTTTTCCAATTTGACTTTTCCAAATTCAGAATTCCTCTTCCAATTCTTTATATATATATATATATATATATATATATATATATATATATTTTGGTATGTGGTGCTGAGGATTGAACCTGGGCCGCACGCATGCCAGGCAAGCGCGCTACCGCTTGAGCCACTTCCCCAGCCCCAACCAGATTTTTTAAAAAAATATTTTTAGTTGTAGATGGACACAATACCTTTATTTATTTATTTTTATGTGGTGATGAGGATCGAACGCAGTACCTCCCACATGCCAGGCAAGTGCTCTACCACTGAGCTATAGCTCCAGCCCAAGATCTTTCTTTTAATTTAAGGTTTTATAGCTATAATTTTCTCTCTAAGCACATCTTTTATTGCATGCTACAAATTTTGGTGTATTATTGTCATTCATCTGAAGGTATTCTATAATTTCTTCTTTGACCCATTGATTGTTTAAGGTTGTGTTGTTTGAAAGTCATGCCAAGACAAATGAAGGACTATAAAGTTCCAGTAATCCATCCCTTTGTTGAAATAGTTGAGCATAATGGTATTACTTTTAAATTCAAATTCCCATTGTTTGCTGCAGTATATAAGAAAGCAACCACCTTTTGTGACTCTAATGTATTTTTCACTTCAGATATTTTATTTTACCCTTTTGTCAAGGATAGTTTTGGTTAAACTTTTTTTTTTCTTGTGAATGGATTGTACATTCCTGTTTCATCATATACATTATAACTTTTTGTTGTTGTTGTTAAGAACTGGATATTCTGAATAGTGGCTTATCCATCATGAAGGAAAAAAAAAAGAACTGGATATTCTGAGTATTATACTGTGTTAACTCTGGAAATTATATTTTTCTTTCCCCTCAGATTGCTAAATGTTTCTTGTTAAGGGCTAGAGCCACCTGTGACTTCTACAAACTATTAAAAAATATATATATATATTTTTAATTGTCAATAGATCTTTATTTATTTATTTATATGTGGTGCTGAGAATCAAACCCAGTGCCTCACACATGCCAAGGCAAGAGCTCCACCACTGAGCTACAAACCAGCCCCTACAAACTATTTTTGTTCTTCTTGTTGTGTGTGGTCACTGAAGTTCATGATATCACTGCAGTCAACTAGTGACCTAACAAAGACTTACCAAAAAAAAAAAAAAAGGAACTGGCAAAATTCTGAGATATGGAGGGCAGGGGCAGACAGGAAAACTAAGATAACATCTCAGGGTACTACCAGGCCCACCAAAGTGCACAACCCAAATTTTGAAAAGATAAGGTCTCCCCTGCCTGCCTAGTATCAGCCAGTTGCTTTAGGAACTGGGACTGCTAACCCACAACCATGGTAGAGCTGAGGAATGGAGATGGTAGCTGCTTGACTCACACTCTTACAAAGAATAGCATTCTGTCACTTCACCCAGTACCCCCTGTTGTTAAATGTTTGATCAGAGTCTAGAGTTCTGGGATAGTTGGATACAACTGCTTTTTTCCAGCTCAATGGTTGCTTTCATCAAAGGACTGACCCCTAGAGCTTCTGACTCCACTGCTATATATGATTGCATTCCATAGTGTTTGGATTACTAGAGCTTTATAGTATTTATTTTTTTCTTCTAGTATTGGGGATTGAATCCAAGGGCATTCTAACACTGAGCTACATCTGGCCTTTTTAAAAATCTTTTGAGACACGATCTTGCTAAATTGTTGAGGCTAGCCTCACAATTTGTGATCCTCCTACCTTAGCCTCAAATAGCTGGGATTACAGGTGTGCGACTGCCATGTGTGGATGTAGTAAGTTTATTAATTTGGGAAGATACTTTTCTTTTTAAAATCCTCTTGGCTATTTAGGACCTCTTTTAATTCATATGAATTTGAAGATCAGTTTTTCCATTTCTGTAAAACAAAGCCATTGAAATTTTGATAAGAATTATATTGAGGGCTGGGGATGTGGCTCAAGTGGTAGTGCACTCTCCTGGCATGTGTGCGGCCTGGGTTCGATCCTCAGCATCACATAGAAACAAAAATGTTGTGTCCGCCGAAAGCTAAAAAAAATAAATATTAAAATTCTCTCTCTCTCTCTCTTTGAAAAAAAAATTATATTGAATATGTAGATTGCTTTGGGGGAGTATTGCCATCTTAGTACTGCTAACTAACTCACAAATACAGATGTCTTTTCATGTGTTTAGGTCTTTCACAAGTCTTTTTTTGGCGGGGAGGGAGGTAACCATTACACCTATTTTTCATCATCCCAAATAGAAACTCTGATCATTAAGCAGTATTTCCCTAGTTTCCCTTCCTTTTAGCTCCTGGCAGCCTCTATTTTATTTCTGTCTCTATAAACTTACCTATTCTAACTACTTCATATAAGTGGAATCATACAGTAGTAGTAGTTGTTTTTTTAAATTTTTTTTTTTTACTTCTGGTTGGACACAATTCTTTTTTTTTCTGGGGGGGGAGAATTTTTTAATATTTATTTAGTTTTAGTTTTTCAGCGGACACAGCATCTTTGTTTATATGTGGTGCTGAGGATCGAACCCGGGCCGCACGCATGCCAGGCAAGCGCGCTACTGCATGAGCCACATCCCCAGCCCAAACACACAATTCTTTTTTTATTTATTGTTATGTGGTGCTGAGGATCGAACCCAGGGCTTTGCACATGCTAGGTGAGTGCTCTACCGCTGAGCCACAATCCCAGCCCCAAGTAGTTGTTCTTTTTTATCTGACTTATTTCATTTAGTTATTATAAATACTTAATCTAGCCAGGTTCAGTGGTGTACTCTTATAATCCCAGTGGCACAGGAGACTGAGGCAGGATGATCATAAGTTCAGAGCCAGCCTCAGCAATTTAGCAAGGCCCTAAGCAACTTAGAAAGACCCTATCTCAAAAAGGGCGGGGGGTGGGGGGTGGGGGCATGCTGGGAATGTGGCTTAGTGGTTAGGCCCCCATGGGTTCAATCCCTAGTACCAAAACTTATATACACACACTTATTTATTCTATTTCCTGACTCATCAGATCCCCAATAGTTGGCACTGTTATCTCAACCTTATAGATTAAACTGAGCACAGAAAGCTAGTTAAATTCTAAGATCACTCAGTAGGTAAAAAGGGTGCTAGTAGCCAGCCTCTACTCTTTTCAACAAGATGCTGCACTTCCCCTCCCTAAAACTCTTGGCTCATGTCAGTCCCAGACATGTCCAACACCCAAAAATCAAGGGCATCACATCCCTCCGTAAAGCCTCATGCTCCTTCAGATTTGGTGTCAAGCTGCTGAGGTAATAGTGGGAGAAGGAAGTTTAGGGGGCTTCACCCAGAACAGAGCCTCAGTCAGGCTAGGGCCACTACAAAAAATGCCCTTGGGGGCTGGGGGTGTGACTCAGCCGTAAAGCGCTCACCTAGCCATGTGCGAGGCACTGGGTTTGATCCTCAGCACCACATAAAAACAAATAAATAAAATACTGTTTCTAACTACAACTAAAAAAAATGTATACATATATATATATATATATATATATATATATAAAAAGAAAGAAAGAAATGTCCTTGAATGCCAGGCACAGTGGCGCATGCCTGTAATTCCAGTGGCTCCAGAGGCAGGAAGATTGTGAGTTCAAAGCCAGCCTCAGCAAAAACAAGGTATTAAGCAACTTAGTGAGACCCTGTCTCTCAATAAAATACAAAATAGGGCTGGGGTCGTGGCTCAGTGGTTGAGTGCCCCTCAATTCAATTCCCAGTAAAAAAAAAAAGTCCTTGAATGACCCAAAGATTAGCAATTTGGTCATCAGTTATTTGTTGTGCTTGTTTTGAGTTCCCTTTAGGGACAGATCTTGGTTTACCCATTCATGTTCTTACTTATGGCTTTTGGGCTTTTCCCAAGTTACAGAATGTGGACAAAGCTGCAGTGATCTCATTTTGCTATAGTCTCTCTGTGCCCTTTAGAAGGCACATGCCCAGGAATGAAATGGCTGGGTTGGTGGCTAAAAGATGTTCCTGCTTTAGAAATCTATGCCAGTTTTTCCAGGTGTAAATTTATATTCCGAGAGCCAGAAAAAAATTATTTTTTATTTTACATGGAAATCTTTCCCTGTCCTCCCCACTTCATCATTCCCCATTCCTTACCCCCCACCGTGCTTGGACCAGACCATGTCGGGATCAGGCCATGCCCGGATCAGGCCATGCCCAGCCGTGAGGGAGGCAGGCAGAAGCTCAGACTCAGGCTGAGAAAATCTCAAGCACTTTTATGCATACAGTCAACAAGTGATCCTGGTTTCCAGGACCAGAAAGAACCTGGCCACATTAGATTGTGGCTCTAAACAAGAGGCTGCAACCAGGAGCAGGCACTTGCTGATGGAAATGGTAAGCTGGTAGTGTCAGCTCTACGTGACAGAACAGGGCAAGGTGGAAAAGGAAGTGCACAATCTCTGTCACTCTACCATTCATCTGCTTTCTGCCCAGGGCTCATCCTGGAAGAGGGGCCATCCCTCTAAACACTGCTGGCCAATCTTCTAGTTGAAGGCATGTCTGGCCACTCCTCAGATTCACTGTTCTCATTGCCACAGGAAGGTATCCAACTTGGCCTGAGAGGAAGGGTTTATAGTCCTCACCCTCACTCTCTGCTTAGCCTTCGTCTTGGGCTTAACAGGCAGTGGGCGAATCATGGCTGTGTTAGTCTGGAGGAGATGTCAAGGAAGAGGCCTGGAAAAGGGACTGGAATGCAGGCAGGAAAAGCTCAGATCTGATGGCAGGCAGTCCTGCTACACTGAGCAAGGCTCAGCTTTGTACACTTGAAGCGACAGACACTGGTAGTCTCGGGGTACAGGTGAGACATAGTATGAGCTCTATAGCTTAGCATAGCCCATTGCTACAGAACAAGGATACAGGCTGTATGAATTTTGTCCGGCCTCCAAGGCCATCAAAACCTGTTCTTACCTAGGGGAGAAAGAAGAGATGAGTAGGATATTCTAATGGGCTAAGAGGCTGGCTAAACCTTGCCCCAACCCTAAGGCAACTGGTACCAACCACTTCAAACTTACCACATCTGTGCTGCGACAGGACTCTGCTATGGCCCTCTTTGGCTGTTTCTGACCCAGAACAGCATTCCGGATAAAGACAGGGAAGGCACCAGCCAGGTCCTCATCTGGCTCTCTTGCACAGTGCTGGCCACCCAAAGAGAGCTGGGACTTCTGCAGGGGAAACCCCAGAGCCAGATTTAAAGAGCCAGATGGCAGCAAAGGAGGGAGGGTAGTGGTGGTAGATAAGATTGAGATCCTCTGACACCTCAACAGGAGGCAGAGAGGATAATGAGTAGGGTCCCAATGATGACTCTGAAGTGTTTCAGTGCTAGGCCAGGAGAGAAAGCTCTGATAAGACTGTTTTTCCAGAAGTCCAGCTTGTATACCCATCCCTGGTAAGTAGTGAATCCCATACTTCGTTTGGGAAGCCCTTACCTGCTTGGGAACTCTGGGCATCTTCTTGAGAATGTCCTGAACAGGAGAGCTACAAGAGTGAGACATGAAGGCAGAGGGCAGGTTAGCAAAACATGAGGACCAAGTTTAGCATATGCCCCTAAAAGGTTACCATGTAGCACAGCTGCTGTTAGGCTGTGTTCTGGGTGAGGTACCTCAGTGGTCTCCACCCCAAGTGCAGGTCTATGAACAACTGAACAGACAAAAGAGGCAGAGTCAAGGTAGATTGGACCTGTCCCAATATTGTGAATTCATTCCAATGTTTCCCAAGTCCTTGGACACCTTACCATATTCCAAGCTCTACACGAAGCTGTGGAGCCCAACCAATTCACCACTCAGGGAGGAAGTCTAGTCATACCCTTATATAGGCAGAAAGCTTGTAATCAGGCCTATTCCTATCTTCCCAGAGATGGGGGCATTACTTCCATGAGACCCTTCACAAGTTAGCCTTTCAGAAAAACCTTCAGTAAGATAGCCCATGAAGTTCTTTCAGAAGAGATTCCCTAAAGAATCTGTGCAGAAAGAGTCTGGGGCAGAATAGAACATGGCTTCACACAGCTCTTCATGCCTGCCCCTCTAGACTACTCTCTTGGGGCATGGGGTCCTGGACCTCATAGTTTTAGATGGTCTCATCTCAAGCCTTAAATGCACACAATGGAAGAGGAAGTTGAGAATCTTTTGCTCAAGAGTCTGGTAGGCAGGCATTGGGAGTTATTGGGAGCACTCACCCCAACTCCACCAGTCCAGACCTGCCTTTCTGGGACCCCTGCATCCTCTCTAATTCATATTCCAATACTTTACCTTGAAGGATGATGATAAGGATTAACAAGATGAGCAAGAAAAGGGCTTTGCACAGTGAGTGTTCAGGCCAAGGAAGAAAAGGTGGCTGGAACCAAAGCCATAGCAAAGCCTAGGCAGCCCCACTGTGCTATCAGCCATTCAGAGCTATCAGGGAAAGATCTGAAGAGATGTCTCAGTTCTTTCTCCAAGTCATGTACACTGCCAGGGACTACCACTCACTGTGCCTTTTCAAGGCATAGCCTTTTGGAGTGGCCATGCTGGGAGTTGGAGGGCTGGGTTTGGGGGGTATCCACATTGAAGGAAGCATCAAGGTCAACATCATCACCGAATGATGGCCGGCGGAGCTTCAGGTTTAGCATCTCCACAGGAGCTGGGCTGAAAGCAGAGATAATCTAATTACTTGGGACCACAGTAACAGCCCAGAGGACCACAGCCCCTTAAGCATCAGACAATTCAAATCCAAAGGCCTGGAACCCACTCCTGACTCAGGATTACCCCCAAGCCCTAAACTCTACAGAACAAACAACTTGGCTCAGTCCTTCACATAGCCTTGGGACTGGTGAAGGTATGGAAGACAGAAGCAGGCAAAACCCAAATGAATAAACAGTCCATTGCCCTTTTACTATGCAGCCTCAGAATGCAGTGCAAGAAGCCAGTCTGACTGATGTAGAGGGCAATGCTTCCCAGTTCCCGACGATGTTGCTATTTATCACAGCAAATGGTACCCTAGGAGGCTGGCACTTCCAGACCTTAAATATTATGCAGGCATGAAAGTACTTCTAGAAAGTACTTTTAATAAATGGGAAAACATATGTTAAGTTTAAAAAGCAATACCAAATTCTATGTTTAGTGCAACGCAATCACGTGATTTGGCACACATATCTACCCTACCACCACCTTGAACAGAAAAAAGATGGGAAGGAAATGTACCACAAATCAACAGTAACTGCCTCTGTGATAACTTCATATTTTCTTTTTTTTTCTATTCTTTTTTTAAAAATTGATTTTATTTTTTTAAATACACAACAGTGGAATGCATTACAATTTGAATTTTCAATTTATATAACTTTACCTTTTTTTTTTTTTTAAAGAGAGTGTGAGAGATTTTTTTTTTTTTTTAATATTTTATTTTTTAGTTCTCGGCAGACACAACATCTTTGTTGGTATGTGGTGCTGAGGATCGAACCTGGGCTGCACGCATGCCAGGCAAGTGCGCTACCGCTTGAGCCACATCCCCAGCCCATAACTTTACCTTTATAATTGGTGTGGTAGTAGTGGGATTTCTCTTAGAAAACTACAGCCAATATATTTTCCTAGCCCATCCAGATCTGGCAGGGCTCTCCAGCTCCTATAATCTGAGGAGAACCCTGGGGAATGGCAAGGGCAACTCTAAGGGTTCAAGAACTGTTCAGGGCTGTATCACAGTCCCAATTCCACTGGGTGTGCAGATCAGAGGAAAGGGAGCTACTTCCACAGATGTGAATGGGGAAGCAATCTGAGAAGCCAGGACAAACTTCCTTTCCCTGGCCAGCCCTCTGGAAGCTCTACTCTCCTGTTTGCATGCAAGTGGAAATGAAGGTGGCACAAACCCACCTGAAACCAACTCCACACTAGTTGCTTTATTTCCCGCTCCAGGAACCACAGAATAAAGCAACAACCAGGACCATTCATGCCCACTATGCAGTAGCTGTTGTTCTGCTACTATTTACTAACCTAGTAAGGGTTAGGAAAGGTGAACTCAAGAGGCAGATCTAGTCTGGTGAGGTGCAGATATTTTGCTCTCTAGGTGGATCTAGGTGGATCAAGATCTTATTGTCATCTGCCCAGGATGCTCATTGGTGCTCAAGGCACATGTTCAGCCTAGTCTTAAGCTAAGCCAGTTTTCTTCACTTGCACCTCCTGGCCATCCATTGCACTAAACACAAGACTCAGGAGGTTCCTGGTATCTCCTCTACACGTATATCTGGCTCATAGGGACAGAGTGCTTGCTCTTTCTGCCAGGGGTCTACTTTCTTTCCTTCCCATCTCTGTCTTATGAGGAAAAATCTGGGGCTCAGTAGCCCCTCCTTTACTAGCTGAGGCCCTGGTATGAGGCCCTCCTGGGTGATACCATCACTCACTGGGACATTCACCCATGGCCAACTTATACAGCTTCATGCAACAGAACTTAAGAAATACGTAGGATACTTGCAGCCCCTTTTCCAAATCATAGCCAAGGCCCTGGGAAGATCTATTACCTGTGTGGTACAGGGTCAGTTAATATCTCCTCCATAAACTCATGGCTCCTGATAGTCCTACACTATATGAAAACCTCCCTAGCTCTCTCTAGCCTAGAGGTCAGGAGCCTTTTAGGTCCATGAGAGGTCTTCTTAACATCCTCTCTGTAGCTGGAGAGGTAGCTACCTCCTAAGGACATCCTAAAATGACAGGAGCAAAGGATAGCCCTACTACAACAAATGGAATGGGCAACCATCATTAGCACCTAGAGACTTCCATAAAATTCTGGGAGACTGTGCATGGTCAAGAGGATAGGAGAATGACATAACAGCCAGAATTCACAAGGAGGGGGCTATGAAGCATTAAGCAGGCCTGAAAACTGGGGCATTAATAGATGGTATAAGCTTGGTCCCACTGGCAGAACACTAGGCAGCCAGGCAGCTAACTTGAGTCAATAAATGAAAGATGCTTTCCCCAAGACCCTAAACAAACATCCATGAACATCCATCCCCGGTAACCTAGGTCAGTCAATACTGACCTAACAGTAAAGCCTTGTGCATCTTGGATTCAACTAAGACTCACCATGATGCTGGCTCATGGCATACTCCACCCCCCTCCAAACTCCCACCTAGGCTGGGCTCTCAGGAATTCTTTCTATTACTTCCTAATCAGAGGGCCAGAGGCAGCCAAGGACTACTGAGCATAGGAGGAAAGCCCAAAAGAAAGGCCATGATGTACAAACACCGACTCTGAGATAAACAGCAAATGTGAAAGCATAAAACAAAAATAACACATATTACAAAAGATGTACTCAGCAAGAAAGAATGCTTGCAAATTTAAAATAGAATTATCTATTCAACCTAAAAAAGGAAGGAGATTCTAATATATGCTACAGTAGGATGAAGCCTGAAGACATGTTGAGTGAAATAAGCCAGCCACAAAAGGATATTACATGATTCCACTTATGTGAGGTTGAATTGATAGAGTAAAATGGCAGTTGCAGAAGCTGATAGAGACAAATGGGGAATTTGTTTAATGAGTACAATATATCAATTTGGGAAGTTGAAAAAGTTCTGGAGATAGATGGTAGTAATGGCTGTATAGCAATGGTGAATGTACTTAATGCCACAGAATCACACTTAATAACAGTTTATAGGTAAATTTTATATTATGTATACTTTATAATAAAAATATTGGTAAAGATTGAACATGGTGGTATACCCCTGTAATCCCAGTTACTTGGGGGACAAAGGCAGAAAGACTATAACTTTGAGGCCAGTTAATTAGCAAGACCCTTTTTCAAAATAAATAATAATAAAAAAAAGGACTGAAGAGTATAGCTTAATGCTATAGTGCACTAACTTTAATCCCTACTACCACCAAAACAAACAAACATACAAACAAAAACAAAAACAAAAAAAAACAACCCTGTAACATAAAGCTGATTTGCAAAGCCCCAGAGAAATCTGGCACCCTGGGCTGGGGCTCAGTGGCAGAGCACTTGCCTTCCATGTGTGAGGCACTGGGTTCGATCCTCAGCACCACATAAAAATATATAAAGATATTGTGTCTATATAAAACTGAAAAAAAAAAAGAAACCTGGCACCCTTGCCACCAACCTCTCTCCTCCAAGCATACCCAGCTCAGTCATGCCTCAGGCCTTTACCCTTGCCATCCTCTGTGCCTAAATTACTCTTGCTTCAAAAGGCTGGATAAGAATGTGTCTATACATTGCCATATATTATAAAACTTTAGACTTCTTCCAGAGCAACAGCATCATGTCAGCTGTCAAGGGGAGAAGGCAAAGGCAGGGTCTTTGAGGTCCCTTATAGTTATGAGGGTTTTTAGCATTAGAACAAAAAGAAAATAGGACAAAGCTGCTACTGAGGGGTCAACTACTACTTGTGAGAGCTTGGGGCCCTAGGAGGGGACCCTGGATTTAGAGTAGATTGTGCCAAGTTAAAAGAAGGGCTAATGCTAAAAGCAACCGACCTGCTTCCACCCCGCCCCCAACTTTTTTTTTTTTTTTTGTGGTGCTGGATACAATGCGTTGTGCATGCAAGGCAAGCCCTACCAACTAAGCTATATCTCTAGCCCATTCCCTAATTTTTATGCCTAGAAAAATACTGGAGAAAATAGAAAATTAAGTCATTCTGCATGCAGCCTGATGGAAAGCCCAGCCCAGCTTTGTACAGATTTAGGCCTGGCAAATGGAGTGTCAGGTGGATTTGAAAGGCAAGGGAGAGGCCAGGGTTATGGATCAGTGGTAGAACGCTTGCCTAGCATGCATGAGGCACTGAGTTCAATCCCTGGCACCACATAAAAGTTAAAAAAAAAAAAAAAGAAAGAAAGGCAAGGGAGAAAAGAACTGTCTATGAAGCTTACTCAGAGTAAGGGAGATTCATCTCTATTTGGGAGCTCCAGACTAGATTCTGCTTATGTAGTGTGGAGCTGATAGCTTTTGGACTTAAACCATCAAAACTCCCAGCTCATCTATTCCATAGGAACACAAGCTCCAAGAAGACAGAGAAGGTTTTAGAAGGCACTCAGTAAGGATCTGTTACAGGAGTCCAGGCCTCATAGCAGCTTGGGGTGGTAAACAAAGTATAAAAAAGCAGGTATACAAAGTCCCTAAGTATCTAGAGGCAGACTGTGCACTTTTCTCTTGTTATGAATGCCAAACACAAAAGGCAAGTGCATGGAAACACCATGAGGCCTATAGAATTGAAGCTAGAGAAGAACTTGCCAGCTGTTAGTGATATACTAGGGGAGGGTTTTATACCCACTGCCTTGAGGTAGCTTTGGTTCCAAAGGTTTATCCATATCACATGGTTTCTGAGACTATTAGTTGAGAGTGTATACTAAACCTGCTAAGCTCCTGATGGGACCCTTGTGTTCTCTGGGGCATCTAAGGACACATGGTCAATGACTGAGGATAAGATAGGAAGAAAAGACCAGAAATAGCCCAGTTTGTCAAAACCAAATCCATGCTGGACCTCATGGCAATTCATGTGCCTATCATACTCCCAACAACCCTTTCTGGGTCCAATCCAAATGGAGGGTGGCAGGTAGGTAAGCAACTTTGGCTCTAGATAGACTAAAATAAGAAAGGGAGAATAAGACTGAAGATTTGAAGTACAAGAACAGAGAAAACTGGCCTGTGCATTCACTCTCCTATGTAGAAGCATATCATGTACTATGGGATGGGGTATGAATGTAAGAAAATTGGTGATGAGGGACACAGATTAAGAAGTGGATTTTGGGGGCTGGGGATGTAGATCAAGCGGTAGAGCACTTGCCTGGCATGCGCTGAGCACTGGGTTCGATCCTCAACACCACATAAAAATATTTAAAAAAAAAATAAGGGTACCAACTGGGACCATACTTAAAAAAAAAAAAAAAAAGAAGAAGAAGAAGAAGAAGAAGTGGATCTTGAGGGCTGGGATTGTGACTCCCAGCAATCTAGCTCGTCTAGCACATGTGAGGCCCTGGATTCGATCCTCAGCACCACATAAAAATAAATAAATAAAATAAAGGTATTGTTTCCAACTACTTTCAAAAAATAAAAAATGTTTTTTTAAAAAAGTGGATCTTGGTCTACTCAGAGATATGTAGTACACATTGAGTATGACTCTAGCATCTCTGTGGTCCATGGCACCTGGCACAGCATGTGAAGAAGTGCTACCCGGCATAGGAGAGTAAGCTAAGAAAACTAAGGCAGTCTGTTCAGGGCAGCTAACTCATTAGTTGAATGAAGCAAAAGCACAGAGGCAGGAGGGAAAACATGTCCTACTATTGTTGACATTGTGATCTGGCTAAAGCCTAAAGACCCACTGCAGCATAAAGACCCACTAAGATTCATGAGTGTCCCAAGGCACATCTGGGCAGGGTTTGGGCATGCAGCAAGGGGAATTATGTCCAGGATTATTTCAGGGAAAATTCTTTGGGGCTGACATGCTACACAGACAGGAGGAACAACAAGATGGGTCATAAGCTTCACATGGAGAATAGTGCAAAGCAAGGGGTCAGAAAGCACCATACAGGCTAGTAAACAGGCAGGTACTATCAACTGATTGGCAGAGGGAGTATTTCACTAAAGAACAGTGAAAAGTGGCTCAAATAAAACATTGGGTCACTGACAGAAGTCTTCTGTCTGGCTCCCTGGATAGAGCCCTCTTACAGGCAGGAAATAGACCTGAAAATGCTCTCCTATTTCTGTGAAACACTCAGGGGAAACAATGAATGCCCTCTACTGGCAGGGATGCCAATCCCTCTATCTCTTTGCTCCCTCTGCTGGCAGCTTTAAAGCACACGTTCCTGGAACCAGAGGGAGATTATTTCAGAGTGGTTTCAAGTTTGCTTCAGAATTTGGGGCAGACAGACACATGTAGAGAATCAGTCCATAAACAGGGTGCCTCAAGACAGTCAGTGCTCCTGCTCATTCTCTGACTAAGTTCTCTCTGGCATTCCCTGGCCTTTCCTTTTAGAGCACAAAATTTGTCTCAAACTGCTTTCCTACTAAATCTTGGCTGGCTCCCAGAGCAGGAGATCCACAAATTGCAGATCCACACATCCTACCAAAGCCATGAAGAGTGAAGACCCTTCTCAGGGCATTCTCTTAGCTTGTGATCTCTGCACCACCCCAGGGGGTCAACAAACCTCTCTAAAACCAGACGGTTGACAGTCTCACTGGCCACTGGTGGCAGGTTCAAGGTTTCCTGCAACATCATTAGCTTCTTTTTCAGGCTCTTGGGAAAGAAAGAGAAGAATGTGAGAGGAGATAAGGCAAAGAATAAGCAGCATACATAAAGGGCATTGGGAATAGGGAAAGGCCTGAAACTCAAAACACCAGGCTTCAGAAACCCTCTCTGGTAAAGTCTCTCTTCTGGTAATTAACAGTCTCAGAGAAGAAGGATTATGAGGAAAGACCCATTGTGCCATTTGACCTCTGCCCAAGAGGCCCAGGGTGTATACCCTGACTCACTGCCTGATCCAGGAGGATGCAGGGAGCTCAGAACTATCACCACTGACTGATGTACAGGTTCTTGGGAAGAAAAAAGTCTAGCCTTGCTCTTTTTTTTTTTTTTTTGTAATTTGTTCTAATTAGTTATACATTTAAATTTTTTTTAAAAAAAAAACATATATTTAATTTTATGACGTGATGAGGATAGAACCCAGTGCCTCACATGTGCGAGGTAAGTGCTCTACCGTGAGCCACAACCCCAGCCCCTTAATTTTTTTTTGCAGTTGTAGATGGACAGAATGCCTTTATTTTATTTATTTTTATGTTGTGCTAAGGATTGAACCCAGTGCCTCACACATGCTGAGCAACCACTCTGCCATTGAGCTACAGCCCCAGCCCAGTAGAATGCATTTTGACACATCACACATAAATGGAGTATAACTTCTCATTCTTCTGGTTGTGCATGATATACAATTTTATGAGTTGTGTAATTATATATGCACATAGGGTAATAATATCTGATTCAGTCTACTATCTTTCCTACTCCCATATCTCCTTCCCACCCTTCTCTCCCCTCCCAACCTTGCTCTTGAAGGACACATAAACCATCCCTCATTCTCAATAGGCCAGGAATGTCCCACCGTGATTTCCTTTTCAGCATTCTGTAAGTCCTTTTGGGCTGCTCTCAGCTCCAACTTGGCCTGATCCAATTCAGAGTAGACTGTCTGCAACTACAAGAAGGTATAGGGAGTAAAGGACAAGCCAAGTGGAGGCGATATGCCTTGCCCCCCACCTGTCATAGTTAGGGTCGCTTAGGGTCCAGAAGAAACTGGAGATATGGGAGGAGACCCCAGATATCTGTCTGGTGATGCATGTGTGGAGTTGCCTAGCAGCAAAGGCTGCTCTCCACACAGTGCATTCTGTGGAAAGCAGCAGTCCCAGGAGCCCTTCCACTCTAGGTCTGAGTGTAAAAAAACAGGTCTCTGAAGCTATCACATTTGGGGTTTGTACACAAAGCCACAGAAAGTCAGTGCCCAGTCTCTTGAAGCCATTCACCAGCCTCATGGAGTTAGCCATGCTGTCAGGCCAGATAGCCTGGCTCAGGAGTCTTGAGCAAGCATAAACAAGCAAAAAAAGAGTTCCTTGCACTCTGCTCAGTTACCTTGCTTTTGGAGGAGACCAAGTCCTTCCTCAGCTTGTCAGCCAACTCCCCCGAGGCCTTCCGAGCTTCTTTTAGATTCTCATACTCTCTGTGAAGTGATGATGGAAAGAGATACCAGAATGAACACTCTGCTACTTAAAAGAGTCACAGCACCAACCTAACACAAGTCCTTACCCAACCCCTCAGTTCATTCTCATTCTTCCTCTGACACCAGAGTCCAGCAGGGGCCAGGTGGCCCTGTGGAGAGTCCTGCACAAAATGCAAGGAGTCTGGTGACACTGTTCCCTGTCTGGCCTGAAGGTATTTGTAACTTGAGAGGGTTGCAGGGAGCTCTGGCCTCACTAGGGGGCCCTCTATACCACTTGGTCCCTACAGAAGGAATTTTGTTTTTGTGCCTGTTAGCCAAGCTCCCTCCCTCCCATCAACCTCATACCACCATCGTGAAGAACAGGGGCAAAGTTTCTGATCCAAGACACTCGGGGTCAGTAATAGTACTGATGGGAAACAGACTGCAGATATCACCAGAGGGCGTACAGCTCAGAGAGCTAATGTCAACTCCTTAAAAACAACACTAAAGCCAGGCATGGTGGCCCACACCTGTAATCTTAGCAGTTTGGGAGGCTGAGGGTTAAGTCCCACTGGGTTCAATCCTCAGTATCAAAAAACAAACAAACATCACTTAAAATTCATACTCTTCTCAATGATTCTCTGAGGTATGACTATCACTATCTTCACGTAGAAAGGTGAGGGTTCAAGAAGCCAAGAAACTGGCTCCAGGCAACTCAGCTGGTGACAGGTAGAGTCAAGGTTCAAACCAAGGCAGGATGGCCCCAGAGCTTGCCACTTAACTCCATCTGCTTTACAAGAGACAGGCAGCAGAGGCATGGCTGGGGACCCATGGCCTAGCTCCTGAGCTCACTGAAAGGGGCCAAAGTACGCACTTCTTGAGAGACACACAATACACAGCCAGTTGCTCCACCGCTGATTGTCCCACACCCATGTCTCGAATCATTTCCTCCACTTCAGGCCGCTGACTCTGGAGAAGGTTCTCAATCCTGAAAAACACACACAGCCCACAGCATTGGAAATCTGGAGGCTGATGCTTAGTCTGCCTTCCTAGGCTGCTGTTGCTATGGCAATAGCCTGGGCTGCTAGGATGCTTTAGCAGGTGGGTGTGCCCAAGGAAAGGCTATATAGCAGAGCTGAGCACAGCTCTAGGGATGCTGCAGAGCAAGAGGTGCTGACAGAAGCCCTCAAGGTCAGGGATTTCCTATAGAGAGGTTACTAAAGGGAAAAATCTGCCAGGTCATCTGGCCATAGGCACAGGACAGGAAGGAGTATGGCAAGTGCTCCTATGGAAATCAGAAGAGTCCACAGAGGCCAAGAAAGATTTGTGTCCATATGTAGCTGACCTGAGCCCTCCATGTCCTATGGGGATTTGAGCCATAGAGGTGACCCAACTTACTCCCTGCTGCAGTCCTAAGAGCTATACTATCTGGAGGCCCTGGGTATAAGGACATATACAGGCGCCAGCTCTAAACTCACTGCTCCATGGTCTTCATCTTGCTCCTAAGTCGGCGGGCTTCCTCCCGTGCTTGTTTAGTCTCATCTTGTTGCTGCTCCAAGAACTTCATCTGCTTCTGAAGAGCAATCAAACCCAAACATGGTGCTTGGGAGCCATGGCTAAAGTCACTGGAGAACTCTGCTCTAAAACTATCTGATCTTATCTTTTGAAAATGCTGATAACCATATGCCCCCAAAATCCCAGAGGTTAAGTGTGTCCCACTCTGGTCTATGCTTTTTCTGCTAAGAGGCCCTAGGCCCACTGTTTCTTCACCTCCATGCCTGGTTCCTCCTGAGGTTTGTCTTATTACAGTCATAATCCAATGTCAGCATATATAGGATAACTGTGGGCAGACAAAATCCTGTGGTCTAGGTCTCATAGTGCATATTGTACAGATAGCTAAAAGAAATTTTGAGCATAAACTCAGGCCTCACCAGCAACATCCAAACCCATGGACTAGAGCATAATAGGACAGCTGAGTCAGCAGCAATTGGCTAGACTGCCCTCAGCATGAGACCGTTCTATCTCTGACCTGGGAGTGCTATGACAAACTTCAGCTCTGCAGCTAGGTGCTAGTTTGTTCCCTCCTACTGGCCGGGCCATGTGATCTAGCCATCCCCCAAGCAGGAATAGAGAAACCAAATATCCTGGGGCCTTGTCTGTTCACAGGGATGGCTCCCATTCCCTTTCAAATGGCATCCAACAAAGACTGCTCCTGCCTACAAGGCCAGAATATCAATTGTGGGTTCAGATCAATCGCCTCATGTCCCTTGGAGAGCAAGAGGCTCACCAACCTAGGCTGATACAAAATTCATCTGGGCCTAGGCTGCTTGCTCTATAGGCTTTGATCTGCCTGGTCAGCTCAGCACAGCTGACTTCAAAGGCCCCTGCTCCTCCCTGGGATGCTGTTTGATCTGGCTCCAGAGAGCAGCCCCATCAAGGACTGGAGTGCTAATGGAAGGTTCTTCAGGCTGGCTCACCAGTGGAGTGTGAGCCACTTTTGGAGACACAGCCTAGCCTCACTGAGGTCTTACTTGAGCCCCTTCTGTGAAGTATTTGGAAGGCTTCACTTCTTCAAATTACCTAGTACAAAATCCATAAGCACACTCATATGACTTTTTTCTTACGGCCTGGATGGGTACAGTATAGGAAGGCCTGGGAAGAAGTGATTTACCTATATTTTATGAATTGAGCAAACCAAGTAATGACTGAGGCAGAACCAGAATATAAGCCCAGGATAATAAGCCTGACTAGAGGTCTATCTTCCCACCAACTCTGCCCACAGAACCTGGGGACCTACTTTGAGTGTAGAGCATAACATCTCAGCCTTGCCTAAGGCCTTTTGCAGAGATTCCACAGTGGTGTTGCGCTCTTCCAGAGTGTCTCGCAGAGTGTCGATAATAACCTGGCTGTCCCGTTTCTCTTTTTCTGGAATAGAAGTGGAGGGTAGAGGCAGAGTCCCATCCATTCATCAGAATGAGAACCTGGGCCCTTAAGCTCCTGTACCTCATCCCTGAGTCAGGTAAGAACAAGGCTCAAACCAAAAAATCGGTTGCCCTTGTCTCTCTCTGGCATGCACCAAATCAGGCAAACTGAGCCCCAGAGCCTTCGTCTAGGAAATAAGCCTTCTTTTTGCTATAACTACTGGGAAGATTTCACTGTTTTCCCATCCCTTGGGTATGGTTAATTTATTATTCCAGAACTCAAGTAGGTTACTGACAAATACAGCATCTGAGCCTTCTCCTAGATATTCTGTCCCATCAGGTAGCCTCCCATTCCCCAGCCTGGGTCCTGGGCTAGAATTCTTAGACGAAGAGAAGAGGCGCACCTGGTCTAGGCAGATAGCTTCATTCACCTCCTTTTCCTCTCCTTTTCTGCCAGTCACAAGAGCTGGCAATACTCTTAACCATATAAAGCAGAGAGAGCCTCTGGTTCTGCCAGAAGGTTTGAGGCCTTCCTTCTAGAGCCCCTCCCTCCAGTATCCAAATCAGGAGCTTTCCAGGGCATCTGTCTCTTGAAAACTCACCTTTCTGGGAAAGCTGGGCTCTGATATTGTCCAGTTCATTCTGAAAAATAATACCCACAATAAACAACAGGAATGCATCACAGCTGGTGTCCAGATGGCCTCCCATATGGCTGTGGGAGCCTCAGGTTCAGACAACGAGGACTGTAGGTCCAGGAAAGCATGGACCCTGGTATACCTCAAGGCCCAAGCTAAGCTAACAATTGAGAGATAAGCATTGCTTAATCTTTGTGTGCCTTTTAAACCATAGCTAAGATGGAAAAAACTAATCCCAGAAGCAGGGCCTCAGAACAGAGAGTTAGAATAGATGCAAAGGAAGTGAAGCTAAGTCCACAGATCAGTCTCAACAGCACAAATTTCCATCACTTCCCTGACCCTGTACTAGCCTCACACTCTGAGTATCAGTTGCACTCACCAGGGACCCAGAACAGGGATGGCCAAAGACCTTGGGCCACCGCTAGTTCTCTCTACCCTGTGTCCTGCCTGCTTCACAGGCTACCTCCTTGAAAGCTCTAAGGTGACTTTGTGTAATACAAACATTTCAGCTGTAGAATCTAAGAGGAATCAGTAAGGCAGGACAGCTTTGCATTGCTAGATTGAGAGGGTCAAGTGAACTCCTCAATGGCTTGCATATGTTCCACAGTAGCAGTACAGAGAGGCTGGGCAGAAGTACATACAGCTCTTATTTGGAAGTCCAAAGAATTCAACACCCTTATGGGCAATCCTAGTTATGGAGGAACCATAATCAGGAAAATCAAGGTTTTACAGGACTTAAATGCTTGGTCAAGGGTCCATAGTTGTAGTTAGATGGAATCCCAGGCAAACCTTCCTTTAGGCAGGACTCTAGGGCCAGAAGCTTCTGGTTGCTGGGTTGGTCAGTGTAAGCTAAAGAGGTGGGAATAGAAATAGGGGGTAGGGAAGAACATGAAGGGTCTTCCTGAGAAGGGACACCAACCCAAGGCTGCTGCACCACTACCCAGGAAGTTTTCTAACCCCTTTCCAAACTACTTAAGGTGTTGCTTCCCTGTTTCATAGAACTGGCTTTGAAATATGGAAAGAAATAAAGCTGCTTTTGTTGTCTTTATCACAGAGGACACCACTTAAAACTGGGAACAATTGAATATACTGGTTCAAAACATAAAAGGTCTACACTCCCAGCACAGTGAGTTCCGAGGACATCATAACACCTGGGGCCCATTTTCAAATGAACTCTGATCTGACAAATATCCAGCAAATTAACTCTCAGAGTCCAGCAATCAAATGTGAAGCTCAATCTGACTTCCTCAGGAGTTTTCTGCCAATCCAGCCTCCTGATATCCTAAGAAAGCTAAATTTTAGATTTTGGGCAGAAACGGTATAAGTATTGGAAGGAACCTGCTTAGCCCCCGCTGTAGTATGTGTTTCCAGTTGGGCTGAAAATCTTGATTCCAGGGGCTTTGCCCTCTATTACTGGTCCAGGGAAGACCCAGGCATCTGACTCTATACCAAGTTCCCTAGGCAATTTTGAGGCACATGCAAAGTAGGAAATAGTGGACCCATACATCTTTCCTGACTGGGAAGTCAAAGAATTTCCTAATCTGTCACTAACTAACCAGTAGCAAGGTGGAAGACAGGAAGGCTACAGGCCCTTCATAAGGTAAGAGAACCTTGGGAGAGTCACTCTATCCTTTGGTCAGAATTGCACTGAAATCCAAAGAGGAGGTCTTCCAATTAAGTGGCCCCATTACTCTTTACAGTATATTTCTCTGATAACCGTGTCTCATCATCATTTACCCTCCGCTCTACTTGCCTCTGCCTAGAAATCTCTACCAGTCTTTCCTCCATAACCCTATCTCTATACTCTAGGAACCTTCCCTGTGTAGGAATAGAAAGTGAACTCCCACAGAAATTGGAGTTCAGTGGAATGAGACACATTCTGGATACCTTTAAGAATTCTGCATCCAAGACACTCTCCTCCTCCTGGGCAAGGTCAAAGAAGAGCTTATTGATAATGGTTCTTTTGCCAACCTGGATGGGAAAACAAGATAGAGTATGACTTTCTTGCTGGGTCATGGGCAAGGAGAAAAGTTTGTACATGAATCCAACTGCCTGCCTAATATGTTATACCAGGTCTGTTTCCAGACCTAACTTTTCAAAGTAAATGTTTTGAATTTTTTTTTTTAAAGAGAGAGTGAGAGAGGAGAGAGAGAGAGAGAGAGAGAATTTTTTTAATATTTATTTTTTTAGTTCTTGGCGGACACAACATCTTTGTTGGTATGTGGTGCTGAGGATCGAACCTGGGCCGCACGCATGCCAGGCAAACGCGCTACCGCTTGAGCCACATCCCCAGCCCAATGTTTTGAATTTAGAAGACCCCTTCATTCCTGCAGGTACCTCAAGATAAGACTTGTTTGGTTGCTGAAGTCATATCACTACAGACACACACTGAAAGGCCAAGGTTCGTCGTAGGAGATTAAAACGCACACACACAGATAGCAGTGAAAAGATGAAGCACCTTATTGCAAGCTTGTGCTAGCTTATATAGAAAGTGAGAGTCAGTTATCTTAAACCAGGAAGCTCCCGGAGTTAATCATAGTAAAGGGTCAGGTCATCACCTATGGTGCACGCACATCCGCCCTGCATAAGATTCATGGGGGGTACGAACTGTTCACGATCACAGAAGACAGGAGGACCAATTAGAAAATTCTCAAAACAACTTGTTATCTGCCCACTGGCAACTTTCCCTCGGCCATGTTGCATTAGGGGCTCCTTATCTGAAAGGCCTGGGGAGTTCTTAGCTGCCCACTGGCAATTTTCCCTCCACGTGTCTGAAAGGCCCAGGGAGTTCTCAGGGAGACTCCCAACACTCACAATGAGTGCTCAAAAGGCATTCAACTCTAGGTGCTGGAGCATTTTCTAAAGACAGAAAAAGAGGGCTGGGGATGTGGCTTAAGTGGTAGCAGGCTCGCCTGGCATGCATGTGGCCCGGGGTTCGATCCTCAGCACCACATACAAAACAAAGATGTTGTGTCCACCGGAAAAAAAAAATAAATATTAAAAAAAAAAAAAAAGACAGAAAAAGAGCCAAATATATCCAGGTGAAGACTGGCTCAGAAAAAAAAAAAAATAGTGTCCAGGAAATAAAAAAAAAAAAAAAAAAAAAAGGACCGGGCCAAGTGACAAGTCAACTCCCTGTGGGTGTACAATAGATCCCAGAGCAACGCAAGGGCATACATGAGACTCAACTTGCCCAAACCAGGAGGGTGAAAAAGGGTCATAATTACTATTTGGTTTTAGAGATCTTTCTACATTCTTGCTTCCTGGCAAGAAGACTAGGTCCAGTTGAGGTGGGCCCACTCCCATATTCTCACCTGGATTCGGCATTGTGGGCAAGTCCGACTTGGTGCTGTCTCAAACCACTGAATTAGGCTGGAATGAAAGTAGAACAACAGATCAGTGAGCCCTGGTATGGCTGGGGATAAGGGTCAGGCAGCCACCAGATCAAATCACCCCAATGCGGGCTAGGGATGTGGCTCAAGCAGTAGCGCTCTTGCCTGGCATGCGTGCGACCCAGGTTCGATCCTCAGCACCACATACCAACAACGATGTTGTGTCCACCGAGAACTAAAAAATAAATATTAAAAACTTCTCTCTCTCTCTCCTCTCTCACTCTCTCTTTAAAAAAAAAAAAAAAAAAAAAAGACAAATCACCCCAATGCCTGCCCACACAGGAGGACATGACAATAGTTGTTCACAGCACTTCCCACAGGCACTCAGACCAACTGGCCATTTCTGGCCCTGTAGTATTAGCCTGAAGCTGTTCTGCCAACCTTCTGGGCTTTGACTGGGATAGAGTGACAATCAAAGCCCAGAATCTATCACAGATAGGGACTCTGATAATACACTTACTTTAAGCTAGGACCACCAAAGGCTATACTTAGATGGTACAAGTAAATAGAGGTTAGCTTTCTATCTATCTGTGTGGTCCATCAAAACACAAATCTTAAATTTACAAAGTCTTCTCTGGAAGATAATACCATCATCCTAGGTATCCACTTTTGAATAACATGTACAACATATAATCTAAGCCAATCAGGCACAGTAGAATATAATATGTAAGGAGAATGAATGAAACAACAAAATCATTACGGATAAATCAGAAAAATATAACACATAGGCAAATAAATCAGATACACACAAAAAAATACATTTTGTAAAATTCCATTTATATAAAGGAAAAATATAGGCAAAATTCATCTATATTCTGAAGACAGTAGTTTCCTTCATATGGGGGACTTAAGGAGGGTTAGGTTGGTAGGAGTAGTTAAAGAGTATATAAAGACATTTCTAGATCTGATAATACTATGCCTTACCTTTCTTCCTTTCTTCTTTTTTTTAAATTTTGTTTTCAGTTCTGGGGATGATCAAATACAAATCCAGCGCCTTGCACATATTATACTAAGCAAATGTTCCACCACTGAGCTACATCCCAAGCTTGTTTCTGGATCTGAATTCTAGCTTTGTGAATATGTTGTTTGTGAAAATACTGCAGGCCATACACTGATTATATGTATATTTGTCTATAACTACATTATACTTCAATAGAAAAAATGTAAAAAGTAAACAGGCACGCAGGAAAAAAGCATATGTCCACAGACATGTATTAGAATTGTCAGACACACACCAAACATATTATGTTTAAAAAAATAAATATCAGTACAGAATCAGAAGCTAAACAGCAACATAGAAAATTTTTATTTTGTTTATTTATTTTCATGTGATGGTGGGGATCGAACCCAGTGCCTCACAACATGCTAGGTGAGTGCTCTACCACTAAGCCACAACCCCAGCACCAACATAGCACAATTTTAAAAGAACCAAACAAAGCCAGATATAGCAGCACATGCATGCAGTCCTAGCTACAGGCAGGTAGATTGCTTGAGCTCACAAGATTGAGACTAGCCTGGGCAACATAGTAAGACTCCATCTCAATAATAAAAACAACAAAAAGAACCAAATGGAAATCCTAAAACTGAAAACCAGCCAAAACTTAAGTCAATGAGTGTTTAATGGCAGTTTAAACAAAGCTCAAGAATTAGTACAATGAAAGATAAATCAGAGGAAACCTCAAGAATTAAAGACAAAAAAATGTAGACATAGAAGATACTCAGAAAAGTGCTAGTAAATGTGTAAATGGAAGTTCTGGAAAGAAAGTGGTACGAACACTACCTCCACCAAAAAAGTTCACATCCTAACCCCTAAAACCTGTGAATATGTTAGCTTATTGTAGCAAGAGGAAATTTGCAGATGTGATTGAGTTAAGGATCTTGAGATGGGAAGGTTTTGAACCCAGGGGTGCTTAGCCATTGAGTCACTTCCCCAGCCCTCTTTTTATATTTTATTTAGAGACAGGGTCTTACTGAGTTGATTAGGGCCTCGACAAGTTGCTAAGGCTGGCTTTGAACTTGAAATCCTTCTGCCTCAGCCTCTGGGATTACAGGTGTGCTTCACGGGATGGGAAGGGTTTTGCTTTATTTTGTTTGTTTTGTTTTTGTGGTGTAGAGATTGAACCCAGGACCTCACACATGCTAGGTAAGTGCTTTATCACTGAACTGTATCCCCAGCACTGGGGTGGGGTAATTATCACAAGGACCCTTATAAGACAGACAGGAATGTCGAGTCATTTAGAAAGGTTTGATGGTATAATGCTATTGACTTTGAAGATGGCCAAACTGAGAAAGGTACCCCTACTCATGCTTAGAGTTTAACCTAAGAAGACCTAATGTAAGACTTCTGACCTCGAGAACTACAATGCAATAAATTTGTGTTGTTTTAAGCAATTGAGTTTATAATAAATTGTTATAGCATGTGAGAAGCCCTGGGTTTAACCCACAGCACCACCCAAAAAAAAAAAAAAAAAAACAGAAAAATAAATCCTGACATATGCTACAATTAACATGGATGAACCATGAAGACATTATGCTAAGAGAAGTAAGCCTGTTACAAAAAGGTAAATATACTATGATTGCACTTAAATGAAGTACTTAGAGAAATCAAAGTTATAGAGCTAGAAAGTAGAAAGGTGATTACCAGGGCTTTGGGACAGGGAACAATTGGGAATTACTGTTTAGGGAGTATAGAATTTCAATTCGGGAAAACGAAAGCTTTTTTATTATTTTTTATTTTGTGGGGGTACTGGGAATTGAACTCAGGGGCATCCAACCACTGAACTAATATCCCCAGTGCTATTTTGTATTTTTATTTAGAGACAGGGTCTCACTGAGTTGCTTAGTGCTTCGCCATTGCTGAGGCTAGCTTTGAACTTGCAAATCCTGCCTCAAACTTCCAAGCCACTGGGATTATAGGCATTGCAACACTGCACCCAACCAAAGGCTTTTTAAAAATACTGGTCATCAAGGAGCGAATATACTTTCTTCTCAGCAGCACACAGATCCTTCTCAGTAGCACACAGATCCTTCTCTAAAATAGACAATATCTTTTTTTTTTTTTTTTGGTGGTGGTGGTGCTGGGGATTGAACTCAGGGCCTTATGCATGTTAGGCAAACACTCTACCAACTGAGCTATATATCCCCAGGCCCTAAACTAGACAATATTTTATGCCACAAAACAACTCTTAACAAATACAAAAAAAAAAATAGAGTTAATACCCTGAATTCTATCAGATCATAATGGAATGAAATTAGAAATCAATGATAAAATAAAAACTAGAAGCTACTTTTAACATCTGGAGACTAAATACACTATTGAATCACAAATGAATAGCAGAAGAAATTAGGGATGAAATAAAAAAATACTTAGAAGTAAATGAGGGGCTGGGGATGTGACTCGAGCGGTAGTGCGCTCGCCTGGCATGTGTGCGGCCCGGGTTCGATCCTCAGCACCACATACCAACAAAGATGTTGTGTCCGCCGAGAACTAAAAAATAAATATTAAAAAAATTCTCTCTCTCCTCTCTCTCTCTTAAAAAAAAACAAAAAAAAAACTTGTAGATGGACACAATACTTTAAAAAAAAAAGAAGTAAATGAGAATAGTGATAAAATATGTCAAAATCTTAGCACTATGAAGGCAATACTAAGAGGAAAGTTCACTGCATTGAGCTCTTTCATTAAAAGATAGAAAGTCAACAAATAAAGACCTAACATTACATCTCAAAGCCCTAGAAAAAGAACAAATCAACATCAAAATCAGTAAAGACAGGAAATAATTCAAATCAGAGGTGAAATTGAAACAAAAGAAACAATTCAAAAAATGGACAAAAGAAAAAGTTGGTTCTTTGATAAACCCTTAAACACACTAATGAACAGAAAGAAAAAGAAAATTCAAATTACTAAAATTTGTGATGAAAAAGGAAATATCATGATGGACACTACTGAAATACAGAAGTTAATCAGAAACTATTGTGAAAATTCATACTTCAATAAAATAGAAAATCTTGAAGACATCAACAAATTTCTAGAGGCATATGACCTACCCATATTGAATTAGAAGGACATATATGATTTAAACAGATCAATTTCAAACAACAAAATAGAAGATTTCATCAAAAGCCTATCAATTGGGGCTGGGGATATAGCTCAGTTGGTAGAGTGCTTGCCTTGCATGTACAAAACCCTGGGTTCAATCCCTAGCACCACCAAAAAAAAAAAAAAAAAGAAAAAGAAAAAAGCCTATCAATTAAGAAAAGCTTCAGGACCAGACGGATTCTCAGCCATGTTCTACAAAACCTTCAAAGAATAATTAACACCAATACATCAAGGAAAGAAAACTTCAGACTAATATTCTCGATGAACATAGATGCAAAAATTCTCAATAAAATTCTGGCAAATTTCAAATAAAAACATCTTTAAAAGATAGTGCACCATGATCAAGTGGGGTTCATCCTGGGGATGCAAGATTGGTTCAACATATGGAAATCAATAGACGAAATTCATTACATCAATAAGACTTAAAGATAAGAATTATATGATCATCTCAAAAGATGTAGAAAAAGTATTTGACAAAATACAGCACCTCCTGGGACTGGGGTTGTGGCTCAGTGGTAGAGTGCTCACCCAGCATATGTGAGGCCCTGGGTTTGATTCTCAGCACCACATAAAAATAAATAAATAAAGTAAAGATACTGTGTCCAACTACAACTAAAAATTAATTAATTAATTAAAAAAAATACAACAC